ACCACCACCACCACCATCAGCAGCACTGGCGATGACCAAGACAGGAGACCGCGAGATGGGCCGAGAACCCACTTCCGAGGAGCAGGAGCCTCCGGTCTACGAGCAGGGCGTCAACTCGCCCTCGCGCTCGGGCGCCGCTGACATCGCCGAGGCGCTCGAAGTGGAAGAGATCGACGATGACCTGTACAAGTCGCTCACGCTCTGGAAACCCGCACGCGCACGCGGTGTGTTTGGCGGCCAGGTGATTGCGCAGGCCGTGGCGGCATCCAACAAGACCGTCCGAGAGGGCATGCTTCTTCACTCGCTCCACAGCTACTTCCTCCTCGCCGGAGACGAGACGCGGCCCATCATCTATCACGTCACGCGCGTCCGTGATGGTGGCTCGTACGTCACGCGCTCCGTCAACGCCACCCAGCGAGGCAGGAGCATCTTTACCATCATCCTCAGCTATCAGAAGCCCGAACCGCACCAGCCGTTCTTTGCCATCCCCACGCCGTCGCTCGATGCGGACGGTCGTTCGCTCCTCGAGTCCATCACTGGCTCGCATGCGACGGGCAACCACTCGGCCAAGTCGATCAACTTCCGCGCCCTTCCGGGCCCGCTCGATTGTCCGCTCAACGAGCATCGATACCAGGAGGTGCTCAAGCATGGCAATCCGGACGCCCGCGTGCGCAAGGTGCTCGAGGGCTGGATCAGCGATCGTCAAGCCTCGCCCGTCGAGATCCGCGACGCCCTGCCGGGAATGTACGACCACAACGGAATCCCCACCCCCGGCAACCAGCAGGCATTCTGGATGCGAACGCGCAGACCAATGAGCGGAGGCCTCGAGGCTCAAAAGGTCGCCCTCGCCTACGCTTCGGACTTCTACCTCCTCAGCACCGTACCCAAGGCACTCAACAACAGCAGACGCATCAAGATGATGGCCAGTCTCGACCACAGCATGTGGTTCTACCAGCCATTCGAGGTGCATGAATGGCTCCTCTTTGTCGTGAGTTCGCAACCCCCTTCTAGCAGCATTTCCTCGCTCGTTGCGGTTACTGACGAGGATTCTTTGTGTTTGCGTTTTGGCATGCGCAGATGCAGACGCAGGCAGCTTCCAATGGTCGCGGCGTCGTCATCGGACGCATCTACCGCGAGGATGGCACACTTGTCGCAGTCGTCTCCCAAGAAGGCCTCGTGCGTGGCAACGATCCAAAACCTGCCAAGCTCTAATCTCTCCTCTCAAAGTTTCCCTCATCTATGCTTATTCTATACCTCGGTTCTTCTTTTCGCAATACATCCCACTGACCGCACGAAACACAGAAAAGTCTCGGCGCTGTACGACGTCGGATTGAGATGGTGAGACGGAGGATTGCTAAGCGAAGAACGAAGATGGCGTGCGCGAGCGAAAGGAAGAGGGAGAAGCGAGGTTGGCGAGCGTGCTGCTGTGCGGCAGACCCGACGGTACCCCCGACGGGCTCGAGTAGATGCTGGCAATCGACAGATCCGCGTCGACTGCGACGCTCGGCTGGCGCGCCGGGTTTTGCGCCATTCTCGCACTGAGATTGGCGACCTTTGCCTTGGCTTCGGCCAGCATGGTTGCTTGGGCTGCCAGCAGATTTTCGACCTTGCGCAGCTGGTCGGCACCCAGCAAGGCGCGCTCGTTGGCAGGAGGGCCGGCGAGCACGTCCATCTGGGGCCGCAATAGCGCGAGCTGGTGAGCGAGACGATCCGCCTTGGCTGCGATGCCCTTGCGGGCGCGGGTGTCGGGCTTGAGCTCGCCGCTCGAGGTGCGTGTAATGCCCACGTCGGCAGCAATGCGCTCCAGCTCGTCGAACCAGCGTCGCTCGTACACCGAGATGCTCGGCTGGTGCGAGTCCATCAGCCGCTGCAGCGCACGATCAATGCGCCCCACCAGCGCTACCTGCGTCGATGCAAGCCGTGCCACTCGCTCGCCCAGCACACTCGGACCATCACCACTGCCAAGCGCCGCACACCGCGCGCGGATCTGGTCGAGCTTGGAAAGCTGACGCGTCATCTCGCGCACCTGCAGGTCCAGACGCGCTTGCACCGCGTTGCCTGCAGAAACGACCTCGCGGATCTCGTGCCGGTACGACTCGACCGTCTTGCCCAGTGCACGAAGCGTGTCCGGCGTCACCTGGACCTCGCCCTTGGATGCACCAGCCATCGCCGCGCGTCGCGGATGCGAAGGAAGTCCCTGCACCCCCGAACCCGCGGCAAAGACCGCCGGAGCCTGGAACGCCGGTCCCTCGCCCAGCAGCGACACGTACGGCTTCGGAAGCTTGGACTCGCTCAATCCGAGCTCTTGAGCCATTGCAGGCGGCGAGTCCGCCCCGTCATGCTCGACACGAAGCGACAGCTCCACTCCCACCAACTGCAGATCCGCCGTCACAGCAAGGAAGGCGTACGAAAGGTACACGTCCGACAGAATAGCCACTGCTGTCACTGGGTTCATCTCGAGCATGTTGCGCCCTTTGCCGGTGCCCGGGGCGGCCGTGTTAACGACCCAGACCACTTCCGTGTTCTCGCCCCGATGCAGCACCTTGGTCAGCGCCTGCTCGCGCGACTCGGCTGTTGCTGACGACGCATCGGCGTGCGCGTCGTTGTCCAGCTCGTCTTGCGATGGCATGTTGAGCGCCTGGATCAGCTTGGACGTCCACGTCGCAAAGCCCAGACACTGGGCGCCGAACGCATGGTAGACATAGAGCGTATCGCCGTACAGCGGATCGCGCACGAAAGTCGGTCGATTGCGCGCGGAGGTGTCCAGCAACAGGTCCGAGGCCTCGGCGTGGCTCTTCACGCCATTCTCCACCGCCGTGTCCAGCAGACCCAGATCGATCGTCTCGTAGATGAGCAGTGAAGGCAGCTCCTCCGGCTCGTCCAGCGTGAGTGCTTCCAGCTCGTCCGCCTCGTCTTCCGTGTCCGACAAGCCGTAGCGGTTCGTCTTGGGCGTCTTGACCTTCCTTCGTGGAGCGTTGCGTGGCCTGGTCGTGCGAGAGTCCCACGAGCCCTGGACCGACTCGAAGAGGAGACCAACATCGACGCGGCCGTCGTGTCCGACGATGCTGAGCGCACCTACTCCCGAGACGGTGGTGCTGTCTGTCCGCTCGGCGCACTCGTCCGTGAGCCAAGTCCAGACAATGTCGCAGGCTACCGTCTCGCGCTCTTCGCACAGCTCTACGGGTGCCGGCCTCAGCAAGAAGGGGCCTTGCGGGCGAGGAGCGCGTTTCGCGCTTCCGCCTTGACGCACGTCCTGACGGTAGGACCATGAAGGCGGATGGAGTCGGATGGGGCCGTCTTGCACAGCATCCATGTCGACTTGGCTGTCATCCGCGTGGGCCTCCTGTGGGTCGACGAGCTGGTCCAGATCCATCGTGGATGTAGACCGTGATCGCGCAAAGGAATCGGGTCCTGGCGTCACAGACGTCTGCCGTCCGTTGCTGATGGTGCTTCTGCTGCGCTTTGCGATGCCTTGAGAGCCTTGCTTGAGGAGTGCGTTGACGTACCGCAGCTGCGTGTCGACGCTCGACGTCTGCTCCGACTCGACCGTGTTTGCATGGTGCGAAGCAAGCTTGGCGAGGTCGTGGATGTAGGCTGCCGGCACGACGGCGCTCCTGGGCAGGAAAGGACAGATGGCCCAAACATCGCCGTTCTTCATCAAGCCAAACACTGTGAGCGGCGACCAGTCGGTGGGGCCCTGCGACCTTGAAGCTGCTGCTGCCCAAGCGCCGTCGTCGTCTTGGTCGAAAGCAGTGGAGCGCGCCAGAGATGCCTCGTTGACGCAGAGCGCGAAGCTCACCGCGGTCGTGGCGTCGTCATCCTCCGCAGAGAGGCCAAAGCCGCCCGAGGCGCCAAAGTTGCTCGAGCTTCTGCTGGCAATGGGTGAAGAGCTGCGATTGTGCGTCGCCAGGTTGGGGGTCGCGGAGCGCGATCTCGACCTCTGAGCATTGGGAGTAGGTTGGATGGGTAGAAACGATGCTGTCTGCTGCGGCTCCTCGGTGTCTTTGGCAACATCATACTCGCGCAGGAGGCCATCGTCGGTGAGGACCAGGAGCGAAGTGCCGCTCTCGCCCCACGGGTGCCAGTCGACCTTGGCCACGGCGGCATCCGAATGAGCAGAGTGGTAGTAGGGAGCGATCGGCACGGCGCGGCAGGCGACCGTGCGATCGATGTGCTTGGTGTATCCAGACCGCGGCATGACGAGAAGGGTGATTTGGCTGGCACCGACGCAGGCGAGCAGCTTGCCGGTAGGATTGAGACTGAGGTGCTGGATCTCAAAGTCGATCGCAGGTCCTTGTGCCGGCACGAGCACCTTGTAGCTGGTAGACGACATCGCTCCGAACGAAGACGAGCGCGATGCTAACGCAGCAGGAGTAGCTGCGGAAGCTTTGGCATCCACCAGCGATGCGATGCGCACCTCGTTGTCGACCGCAACGATCAGGTCGGTGCCTCGGACGACCATCAGACGTGCATGGCTGCCAGCAATCTGCTGGTCACCGAAGGCGGTGCTGGTTCCGCTGCTTTCTTGGCGCGGAGTGAAGATCGGATGGCTGGCGAGTTGCTGAAGCCATCTTGGGTCGCTGAGCGTCGGATCAGGCGACTGAGGGTAGCCCCCGCCGAGGGGAGCTTGGACCTGGCTCATTGCGGTTCAGGCTGCCTCAGTCGATACCGTTCCAGGATGCTGCTGGTGGTCGAGTGCGTTGGAGGTGGGTGAAGAAGGAGCCGTCGAATGAACTTTCCAAAGGTCGCGGAATCCATCACTGCGCGTTGTTGGCACCTCAAGAAGCTTCGCATCGCGCGACGGTCATGATTATGTAATTCAAAAGCGCCGCACTGGACCCTGCGTCTCCACTTTCACTCGGTTGCGCCCACCCTGTCAAGACGCTACTCTCGCTCTCGACATCCACCACAGGCCGGCTTAGCCGCCAGCCCACACGCCACACGCAACACGCTCTCGCTATTGTGCACCGAAGCACCGTGCGCCAAAACGCCCGTCGCCGATGGATGCAGAAGCAGGGCCGAGCCGACCATCCGGGCGGCGCTCCACACGCGTTGCGGCCCGTTCCAACGACGATGCGTATGACTATTCCAAGCTGGTCGGGATGGATGTGGACGGAGACGACGAGGACGCCGAGTTTGGAGCTCTTGCTCTCGGCGGCTTTGACGACGATGACTCCGATGTCAGCAATCCTGACTGGGAGCAAGATGAAGACTCGGATGCCGGCGAACCGGCTGCTGCCAGCCTACAGAAGCCACCAAGCAAGGCTCGAAACGGTGCGAAGAATGGCCGGCACAAGTCAGCAGCGACACATGCGACGGCGCAGAGCAGACCGGACGGCAGCGACGATGATTCGACGGATGACGATGACGAAGACGACGATGCCGCCAGAGACGAGATGGACATGGACGCGCTCGATCCGGCACTGTTTGGCGAAGCAGGCGCTTCCCAACCGAGGCGGCCGCTCATAGAGGGCGACGAAGAAGACTTTGAGCCAGAGTCCTTTCATCGACTGGTGAGCTCGCTGCAAGATACATCGCGAGAAGCAGGCGCACTGCGCCAGCAATGGGATACCTCGATCGAGGCCGAAAACGCCGAGTTCGAAAATGAGCTGCGTGCCGCCGCCGGCTTCAAGCAGAAGCGGCGCGTGCGTCGCAAAGCGCACGAGCAGCCTCTCTCTGCCGAAGTGCAGGCGCTCATGGCCGAAGTCAACCTGGCATACGTTGAGAACCGCCTGCACGACGCGATTCCCAAGCTCGAAGAAGTGATCCGCATCGAGCCCTCGGTCATGGCGGCCTGGAACACGCTCGGCCTCATCTACGAGGAGCTGGGAGAGGAAGAGAAGAGCATCCAGTCGCGCATCATTGGCGCACATCTGCAGCCGCGCGCCAACGCCGAGTGGAAGACACTCGCATATCGCTCCATCAAACAGACGCTGTACCGCCAGGCGATCTACTGCTTCCAACAGGCGATCAAGATCGACAAGACGGACGTGGACAGCATCTGGGATCGTGCGCTGCTGCTGCGCGACCTCGGCGATCACAAGGCGGCAATCAGTGGCATGCTCGACATCCTCAAGCTGCAGCCGTACGACGCGTCGGTGGTGCGCGAGCTCGTGCCCATGCTCGTCAGCACCCGCGACTACGACCGCGGCATCGAGGTGCTCGAGCGCTGGCGCACCTCGAGCATGCAGGCGTACCCAGACCCCGCCGGCGGTCTGCCCCTCGATCCGGAACTGTTCGCAGATGCAGGTTCAACGGGCCCGCAGTCTTCCGCACCGACATTCAACAACTTCAACATCTCGGAACTCGTCACGCTCGCCGACCTTTTGCTGTTGATGCGCAAGCCCCTCGAGACGATCAGTGTGCTGCGCCAGACGGCACGCTGGCTCGACGGACGCAAGAGCGAGGACTTTTGGGACGCTGTAGACGACGACCGGGAGTTCGACGGCGACATCGACCCACAGATCCGCAAGGAGCGCGACAACGAGGGCTACGGGCGCCAGGTGGAGACCGCACAGCCGCACCTGCTGGATCCCGAGATTCGCTTGCGGCTGGGCAAGGCGCGCATGATGCTTGGCGACGTGGTCGAGGCCAAGCACCACTTTGACGTGCTCACCGAGGGCGACCCCGGCGACCTGCCGCAGATCTTCGCCGAGGTGGGCGACTGCTACTACGAGCACAAGCTGTGGGCCGAGGCGCTCGACGTGCTCACCGATCTCGCCAGCACCGAGTATGCCACGGAGGACGTGTCGCTGTACGCCAAGCTGGCGGCGTGCAACCATGCGCTCGGCGAGCTCGAGGAGGCGGCGCGGCTGTACGAGCCCGTCGTCGAGGCGGCACCGGACACGCTCGAGTGGCAGATGCGCCTCGCCGAGGTGTACGAGGGCCTGGGCGACAAGGAGAAGTCGCTCGAGGTGCTGCGGCGCGTAATGCAGATCCTGCAGTCGCAGCGGTCCGCCGATGAACAGCTGGGACAGGCAGCGTCGAGCGCAGCTGCGGAATCCCCCTCTGGCGGCGCTCTGTCGTTCTTTGACGAGATCGGCGAGCCCGCGGCACCCAAGGCTGCGCCAGCGGCCAAGCGTGCGCGCATGAACTACAACCGGCAGCAGCGGCTCAAGTTGGAGCTGCAGCGCGAGCAGGAGACGCAGCTCTCGTGGCGGCGGCTTGAGCTGCTCGAGCCGCACGTTTTCATCGATGGCTTCTGGCGCTACGACGTGGCCGTGAGCAAGGAAGCCGAGGAGAGCCTGGGCAGCTTCTACGCGACGAGCGAGAGCGTCGAGGAGCGCGAGAAGCGATGCCGCCAGACGGCGCAGTGGGTGGAGGAAGCGGGTGGACTCATCGACGCCTTCCGGCTGCACCCGCGCCTCAACGGCTTGAACCTCAAGAAGAAGCGCTGGGGCGGTGCGAACACTAGCCGAGCCAAGGCGAAGAAGCGGCGGTCGGAGGCGAGGCCGATGCAGACGACGCTGGCGAGCATGCTGTCGCAGCGCGGCGGGCCGAACGCGATCTCTACGCAGGCGCGCAATCTGCTGCACCGTCTGCAGGACTCGTTGGTCGAGGACGACGGTGCTTCGGACCTGCACGACGGCTCTGAAGCAGGCGATCTGGACGGCGCCAAGCCCAAAGCCGAGCCGGGACCGAAGCAGCTGGACATGGCCAAGTTCCGCGGGCTTTCGATCGAGCAGTGGATTGCGCTGTTTGCCAAGTACGCCTTTCTGCTTGTGAAGAGCGGCGAGGGCATGGGGATGGTGAACAGCCTGCTGCAGTCGCTGCACACGAGTGCGGTGGTGTGGGGCAATTGGGATCGCATGGTGGTGGTGCAGCTTTCGTGGTTGTCGTGCGGGCTGTATGCGCGCGACTGGTCTACGGTGTGGGGCTGCCTGCGGTGGATGGCGCAGGAGATGCAGTTCCACAACTTTCCGCTGCAGCTGGCTGCGAGCCTGGCGAACGGGACGGGGTTCCACAGTCTGGGGAGGTTGATCAGCAACAACGACATCAAGTTCTACCAGCGTCGCATGCGGCAGGGCGAGGCGGTGGCGCGCGGGGCCACGTGTCGCTTTTCGACGCACAATCGTCGGTGGCAAGTGCCTGTCGGTGTGCTGGAACGGGAGGCGGAGACGAAAGATCTGGTGGAGGAGGCGAGACGTGCGACCGAGGAGCGCGAGCTCGACGACGGTGTGGTGGTTGCCTTGGAGGATGATGATCACGCGAGTGGTTCAGACGCCGAAACTGACGAGGGGGATATCAAAGGCGACCGACCGGATGCGGCTCTGGCAGTGCGCCTTGCACGGCCCACTAAACCCTCGCCGCTTGGCGAGATGTTCTACGGCTACATGCTGTTGTACTCGGGAGGCTACCAATCATCGGCTGCGTTTTTTGGTCGTGCGCATGCGATCCAACCCACGGATGCGCTGCTCAGCCTCGTGAGTGCAGTTGCATTCCTGAGCCGCAGCACCAACCGCCAAACGGATAATCGTCACCATATGGTTCTGACGGCCACGACGTTCTTTCACAACTACCGTCGCAACCGTGCAAGGAGGGCAGAGGAGGAGTACAATGCCGCCCGATTGCTCCACCATATCGGCCTCACTCATCTCGCGGAGCCGCATTATAGGAAAGTGCTCGAAATGCCCGACGAGGGGCAAGGATGGAGTCTCAAGAGGGAGGCAGCTTGGAACTTGGCCATGATCTATACCACATCTAGCAACACCAAGCTAGCTCGCCAGATGTATGAGGAGTACCTCACCGTGTAGCTTCCATACCAAGCTGCCGCCATGATCCCGGCGCGACAACTGATTCAATCGCAGCCCCCCTTTTGTCACCTCATTTTTTTCGTGCTTTCTTTTGTGTGTGTGTGTGTGTGTGTGTGTGTG